CTTTAAAATAAAAAAATAAATAAATATGTCTAATGTACTTTATATCATACTGCATCATTTCCTCCTATGTTATAAATTCTAAACAGAGAATAAACTTTCCAAATGCAACACACATTGATTCCTATTACTAACATTTATCTCAATTTTAACAAGGATCTTATGGCTTATAAAAGCCTCAACAATCTGGTTCAGCAAAACAAAGTAACATGTTAACATTCAATAACATGAGCATGCAGTTTAAAATCAAAAGCTCATGCTTGGAAGAAAAGGATATGATTTGAAAGTTTTCTAAATAATGCACGTTTCATTACCTGATTCCTAGAATTAGTTTTAAATCTAAATATTTAAATAATTTTATTGAATTAAGTATTTTCAAAACTTGAAGTTCATATTTTAATTTGAGAAAATCACAGATTATTTACAAACTGATAAAAGTTAAAGTCAGATTATCTGACTATATTTTTATCATAATCTATTATATACCCTAATGTTCATATAATTTTGCTAACCAGTTTCCATATTCAAACTCCCAATTGTTCTCACCTATGATTTATATTTTAAAGAAAAGTTCCCATGTACTTTTTAAATGCTATACTAGTCTTTTTAAAAAGAGGTAATTTCTCTGAATTGCTTTAACCTTTGTATGAAATAAAACATACACCAACCAGCAGATAACAAGGAGTAACTTGAGGAAAATATGGTGACTGTGTAAATTATAAATTTACTTTACAGACTAAGACTTCCTGAGTGAGACCAACTAGAAGATACTTTTACGTAGGTCAGAATCTTCCTTTTCTGTACTGTTTAGCAGTCCAGAGATATTGGGTAGTTCTGAAATTCAAGCTTTTTCTTTTCTATTAGTATCTTCCTTCTTTTCCTCTGGCCATGGAAAAGGGAAAATTCTCTATTATGAATAAAATGCTCATCTATAAAATGCTCACTGGCCAGCCTCTTTGTCCCCAATCTTCTGAAGGTGTTTGATGTCTCAGACACCTTCAGAAAGCTTGTGTTGTACTGTAATATTTTATGAACAAGGAAAGAAAAGTCCTGAATATTGTATTTTACATCTCATCTGAAACAGTCTTTGCCAAAGAAACTACCTATGGTATAAACATATATATATTTATGTATGTATAATTCTTCATTATATATCTTTTTAAGAAATAGGTTACCAGGCTGGGAATATAGCTCAGTGGCACAGCACCTGCCTGGCAAGTGCAAGGTCCTGAGTTTGATTCCCAGTACCAAAAAAAAAAAAAAGGAAAAAGAAATAGATTACCTTTAACATTTAGCAAAAAAAAAATAATAGAACAATTCCTGAAAGGTCACAAATGATATGAAATTTTAATTTACTGTGGCATTTAAAATGTATCTTATATGTTTGCATTTTAAAGTAGTCCATACACAATGTCTTATTACATGATCAAGTCACATTTATCAGTTATGGGCCCGGGATTTAGCACAGTGGCGCAGTGCCTGCCCAGCAAGCGCAAGGTCCTAAGTACAATTCCCAGTATCAGGGAAAAAAAAAGAAAAAAAATCAGTTGCATACTATATATATAAAATATACAGTTCACAAATATAGATTAATGACCAGGGGAATATAACAAATATTTCATATGCTAATGATGAAACTGCACTTGTAAAGTGGTTAATGTAAGATTCTCAAAACACTTAGTAATGAAAATATTTTAACGCCTTAACACTGTGAGAAATCTGTGCCCAATTCCAGCCCAAAAGGAGTTTTTAATTATAAACACTTATTTAACTTAGAAAGATATTTTTCACCTTTGAGTGTCTCAAAGTATTTCATAATAATATAAACGGGAAATGTAAGCTGAAAAATAGAGAGGTGAAAAGATGTTATCCTGAATGCTATAAAACAATATATCTTTGGCAAGTTTACTCAGTTCTTTCATCAAAACAAACTAACTTTACAAAATTTATCTGTGATTCTTGTTATTTCATCTTTTTTTTTAAATCTCCTGAAATCTGACAGGTTATTCTAAAATTTTACAATGGAGAATTACTTGTGTGTTCTACCACAAAGAAACATATATTTCTCTCAATAATACTATTCTGTAATATACTTTGCAAAAAAACATTCATACACCCACAATTTTTCTTTCTCTTACCAGCAAGTACTCAATAAATACTTTGTGGATGAATAAATAAAACTCAGTGAAGTACTCTATCTTCTCTAAGTAATAATATAACTTTCACCAGTCATCTATGATCAGTTCCTGTGTCAAATCCATAAACCTAATCTGCTAATGGAGGCACTATCAACTATACTCAGAATTTGTTCCATAAAGATCAATGTATAAATCCCTCATTGAGTTGAATCCCAGACAAAAGTTCGCAGCATTTGTGAAATCGGTATGTTCACTTCCCTTTTATTAGATAACAATACTATGCTAAAAAATAGGGGAAGAAGAATATTTCGTTGCATGGAGGAGGCCCTGGGTTCAATCCCTAGCACCACAAAAAAAAAAAAAAAAAAGCAAAAGCTAATACTATGATTTTCATGTATTCTAGATACCAGAGTGCCTAAGATCAAATGTACCCAATTCAGCAAAAATGATCACCTACATTCCATTACCTGAAAATCATTTACTTTATTTCAAGAGTTACTGTTTCCCTTTTTTTTTTTAAAGATAAAAGAAAGAAAACATAACAGACACAGAGACTTTTTTTATATAACAAAATATCACTCAGCTCTAAAGAAAGACAAACTCAGGACTTTTATAGGTAAATGGTCACAACTAGAGACCATACTCATACGTGAAATAAATCAGACCCACATGTGTAAACACCGTGTTGTCTCACTAGAGTTTCCTTTTTGAAAGTACACATAAACCTATTATGTGGAAAGTAAAACATATTTCCTATTCTGCTTCCATCTCTGTTGCTAATTACACCACACCAAAAAAAAAAAAAAAAAAAAAAAAATACAAAAGGACAAATAGGTAGTGGCTAAGCAAACAATAGCAATCTTTAAAAAAAAAAAGAACAAGCAACCACTTATTAAGCATCTTTGTACCAGGCACTTTTGTAGATGTTTTATATACACTAACACAATAGTCCTACAAGTATTATTATGTGCATGTTGATTTGAGAAAAGAGGCTCTTTGTATAGAGGATGGCACGCAGCTGGTATTTAGCAAGTACTTGTTGGATAAGTAAAACTTAGTGAATGTCCCTACTTATACAGGTAACGAGTAAAGAGAGTAGGGCATTAGCTTACCTTAAAAGTTTCTTACAAAATACTCAATTCGTAGTTTCAAAAATTAAAGTCTAGAGTGGATTCTACTCAAGTGTGGACTTTACAATACATAGTTCAAACTGGATGTGGTAGTGCATGCCTATCATCCCGGCACTTGGGAGGTTAACACAGAAGGATCACAAGTTTAAGTCTACCTATGCATCTTAGCAAGACCCCATCTCAACTGTATCTATCCTTACACTCCTGCTATTAGAACAGTGAAGGAAAAGTCATACAAACACTAGTGCTTAGGTGATTAAAAAAAAAGTTATTAAAAGCGTGACTCCAGGGCTAAGGAGGAAACACAGAGGTATAGCATTTGCCTAGCACAGGCAAAGCCCTAGGTTAAATCTCCAGTATCACCAAAAAAATATATTTTAGAAGTCTTATTTAGGGCCGCAATACAGCTCACTAGCACAGAGCCTACCTGGCAAGCACAAGGTCCTGAGTTTGATTCCTGGTACCAGAAAAAAGTTTGATTCAGATCCAATTGTCACCTACAATCTCACATAAATTGATAAAGAGGTGAAAAAGGATAATGTTTAGATATTATTTCCTTACTTTAAAAAGCTTTTATTAGCGAGTTGTGACAGCACACACCTAAAATCCCAGCAGTCAGACGGAAGCAGAAGACTGCAAGTTCACGCTCCTCCTGGACAACTTAGTGACTTAGCAAAACCATTCTATGATTTTAAAAAGGAAAAAAAGAGGCTCAGCAATGTACCTCAATATTCCCAGGGTTCAATCTCCAACACCAGACGGAGAAAAAAAAAAAGGTAGCTTTTGATAGAAACTGATTTCAATCTAAACTTCAACCTTTGATTTCCACAGATCAGGCTTAAGGATAGTATATACTTTGATTTTTCTAATCATTATAAAAAATTAGGCCAAACATGATGGCACATGCCTGTAATCCCAGCACTCAGGAGGCTGAGGCAGGAGGATCACAGCAAGTTTGAGATCAGCCTGGGCTACACAGTGAGTTCAAAGCCAGCCTGAACTATGCAGTGAGACCCTGTCTCAAAAAAATAAATAAATAAATAAAATGAACATTATAAAAATTAAATTGTTTTAAATTAGTAAAGTAAAACTTTTTAATCTTAGTAATAAAATATTTAGCTGTTTTTAAAACATTTTTATGCATCTTTCAATAATGTATCATTAGAAAACCATTTTTTGCTACTATTCCTGGCTAAAACTATTCTAGGCAAAACTTCTCTCTGCATATTGATTCTTTGTCAAATTCAGTGTCATTCATTTCTCTGTTACTAGTTGATGTTCCCTTTAGGATGCTGTCTACTTTCAGAAGGATAAAGTGTGTTGGTGAACAATGTATCTGTCCTTAATACTATTATCACTTTAAATAAAATAATTCAATAAAGTTGGTGGTTGATGTCCAATTTTTAACCCAGTTCTTTACTCTTTCCCAGTATTCCAAAATAAAGGTCAAATAAAATCCTTAATATGGAATTTTGTTTTAAATACCCACAAATTAAGCAAAGAAGTCAGTGTTTTATTCAAAATAAATTAGTCACTTTTTCCATTTTTGTTTCAGTCGTAAGAAATGAGTTATAGTTAATTTTAAATGTAGAACTTAGAACACTATGCAAATCATGTCTGTGTGTCAAAGAAAAATAAGAAACTTAATGAGGAATGTTTAAAAAAGCAGAACCCATTACTTTAAAGATACACAGGAGCAGCCAAAGATGACAAACATGCATAAAATTCAAAACATGGTGGAAAGGGAATAGGCACTGAAACACATAAATCAGTGTTTTGAATTCTTTTTCTCTGTGGGTATAATTGTACCTTAGTTTCTTATAATGATTTATTGAGGTAAATATTCTGTATGGTTTAACAGCTACAGCTTCAAAGTGTCAGGCACAAGCTCTCCTTTATTCATGAGGCAGCTGAGTATCAAGATGTGAATTCACTTCTGTATTCTGGGACTTGGCAAAGTTTGTTTTTAAGGTCCTTATAAAGAATTCATGTTGATGCAGTCTATTCAAATGTGAAAAACACTGTGCTGTAATGAGTGAAATAGAAAACCTTTACAGTAATTCCGGAGAAAAAAGTAAATAAATTGAAGTAAGTCACACAGAATTACTTTCAGCAAAGTAAAGAATGCCCCTGAGTTTATCTCAGCCCACTTTTTCAGGTTCAGAAATGCCTACAAACCCCATCCAACTAAATTTGGAAATGAATCCAATATCAGTACAAAGAGAAAATGATGAGAGACAAACAGAATTAAGTCTCAATAACATTCACATAAGAAAGTCTTTTGGGTTGATTTTTAATTTGTACATACTATTGCTCTAGGACCAAGGTATATCCAACAGCAACTAGTAATAACAATTGCAGAATAGTTTATTAAAACTGCCATGTAGCAGCTTTATGGTTAAAAATGGGAAATGACTAATTTACCAAATATATTTCCTTTAAAAGAATTTATGTGTCTTTGACCTAAAGAGCTTAGTAATTCATACATCTAATGTTTGTCTGTGCTATGCTTGTCAGCAGTAAATTCATATTTTTGTCAAGAAATAGACGTACTTACATTTATAAGCTCTATATGAAGTAGATATTCAACCTGCCTAAACAGCGGTTCCACAGTGCAATCTAAAACACATAGTTTTAAAATGTGCCTAGTTGTTTTGTTAGTGAATTCTCTCATCTTCAGACAAAATATAGTATACTTTTGAATTCTGTTCAGAGAGTTTTTATATTATGAGAAGGGGAATTGATCCTGCTAATGAATGCCTTTTGCTTTTTGCTATTTATCCTTTAAAATTAAGACTTACTAGTGTGCGGCTGTGACTCAATGTTAAAGCCCTTGCCTAGCATGTACAAAGCCCTGGATTTGACCTCCAGTACTACAAAAAATAATATAATAAAGTAAAACTAAAAGTACTGCCTGCTAAAACCTACCCATTACACATAAACCTTTTAGCTATCCTCACAGAATCTATCACAACCAGACAAGGAGTAGATAATCAGTAAATAAAGACTCACATCAGATAACAACTTACTAGCTTCAAATGGCTCTGGAAAAGTTCTATCACTTTTCAGATGTCATCTTCCTTTCCCAAAATAATTTTTTCACAAAAAAATCCTACAAAAAATAAATATAAGATGTCATGATATTATATTGCTTCCAGGCAAAACACTCACCAATCTATTTTATACAGTTTCTAATCAGAGAAAAATGTGGAAAATGTGAGGAAATGCACATTGTGTACCATGTTTAAGTAGCCCCAAATGTTTTACATTGCCAATATGAAATGAAGACATCTAACTCCAAAAGTGATTCTCTATGCTACAACATGTAAAGTTTATGTGAAGACAAGATAATCACAATCCCCTAAAAGGCTGAAAAATTGGTAGAAAAAAAAATGACAAAAAGAAGAACGTGCTTCTGAAAAAAAAATTTTGTTGTTTTTTTTTTCCTGATACCGGGAGCCGAACTCATGACCTTGCACTTGTCAGGCAGGCGCTGTGCCGCTGAGCTAAATCCATAGCCCCCTACTGAAAAAATTAATTCCTCATACTCCTCCTAAACTAACATTATTTATTATCAATTTTATGCCTTTGGCAAGTACAATAAACCTTTATTACAGAATAGTTTGTATATAATCTACATTTAATTTACCTTCAAATAAATACTGATATGTTCATTTTTATTGTTTATCAAATGATACATTTTTCCATTTATAAAGAGTTTGGATATTGTTTTGGCTTATGTCTAGATGCACCACCCCCACCCCCGCAAAGCTTCATTCAGTCAGAGGTGGGACTTTTTCAGAGGTGGCCGGATCTACAGTATGTGATGCTTGAGTTGATCCATGTAATTCATTAAGCAATGCTAGGCTCAAGGGCACCAGGATTAAGAGTGTGCATACTACCCACCCTGAGTAGCCTGGATAAAATAAAAAGGGCAGAAAGATGCTGTTAAGGTCCCTTGCTTGCTTGCTATTTCTGTCTTCACCTTGCCATGAACTGGTTCTCCTCTTCAATCACCCTCTTCCAAGCTACGGTGCCTTGCAGCCAGCCGATTATGGACTGAAACCGCTACAAACTGTGAGCTACATAAACCTTTCCCCCTTTAACTTTGGGTGTCAGGTGTTTTGTCTCAGCAATAAGAGAAAAGTAACTAAGACAGATATGTATTGGGATGAAATGCATCATAATTTTTTTCCATTAAAACTAATGGAAATATTTTCTGTTTTAAAGCTTTTCACTAAGTAGCAGAATCTGCAGAAACAAGATACATCTTTAAGCAAGGAGTAGCTATATTCCATCCAAAGTCTCAAAAAGTATCACAAAGCTAGAACAGAAAGCAAATAGTATCAACTAAGTATCCCACATTTGTCAGACACTTTAAGTAAACAGTTCATTACAATATGTATGTTTGATAGGTGTTGTTATTCCTTTTTCTGAAGATGAGAAAGCTGAGACTCACTGATGGGAATGAAATGCTCAAGGTCATATAGCTAGTCAACAGCAGAGCCAGAATTCAAACCAAATGTTGCCAACTCCAGAGATCATTTCTGCGTTTACCTTTTTTTTCTGGCAGTAAAACTGAACCCAGGATTGAACCCAGGGGCACTCTATACTGACCTACATCCCCAGCTCTTTTTTTTTTTTTTTTTTTTTTTTTTCATCTTGAGTCAGGATCTTCTAAGCTGCTCAGGCTGGACTTGAACTTGTGATCCTCTCTCAGCTCCCTGAATAGCTGGCATTGCATGCATGCACCACTATGCCTAGCTCATTTGTATTTACTTTTCATCAGCATTCAATATAACACCCTGCTTTATGAAAGACTGAGCTCCCTTGGCCTCCAAATAGGGTACTCTACTGATGCATTCCATCCTAATTAACAGCCCTACTTCTTAGTCTCCTCTGTTGAATTTACCTCCTCTACCTGACTATAAATTCTTGATTTCCTTTTCCTCGGGCCAAGGCCCTCTAAGATTTCCCCCTCTTCCTGGCTAACCTCATCCATTCTCATAGGGTTAAATACCATTATTATTTAGATATCTCTCAGCTATAGATCTCTACCTTTGATTTATTTGAGCTTCAGGTTTGACTATTTAATTGTCTACTCTATTTCTTGACATCACTACTTAGATATTTCAAAGACATTATAAACTAAATGTGCCCAAAGAAGAAGTCAAAGAAGAAACCATAATACCTACCTACCCAAATCTGTCTTTTTCTATCTGGAAAAGTAAAAATTCTGTTGTTCAAGCTGGCTCTTATTCCTTCCCCAACATCATCCCCAATACCTGGTCTATCAACAAGTCCTGTTCTACTCCTAAAATATACCATGAATTCCTCCACATCTATCCATCTCTACCATTCTCACTGCAGCCCAAGTGTCCATTATTTCTCACTTGGATTATGCAACAAATTTACTTTTCTTGACCTCCTCTATTCCATTTTCCATACTGCAATACAACAACAAAATCATTCACAACTAAAAAACTATAATAGCATAATTAAGATAAAAACCTTTAAATGGCACTTAAGACAAAATCAAAACTCTGCATCATAAAAATTTCACAATTATTATATATGTCTTTGTTATTTACCTACCAGTTGTTTTATGTGTTTTGTCTTTTAATTTTCATTGGGTCTTTTTTGTCCAGTAGGTATGTCTCTTACTGCTGCTCATTTTAATATGCAATTACATCAGAATATACTGGACTTCTACAGATTTCAAGATTCTCATTTAAAAGTTGCCATTTGGAGTCTGGAAAGATAATCCTGTTGAAAAAGTTTCCAAAAAAAATTTTACTACCCAGCACACACTGAGTCTTTACCTACTCACTTTAAGTACTCGAATCCTATGTTAACATAGACTAAAAGCCCATTATTAGAGTGTGTTACAATGGAATACTGCTAAAAGCATGTTTAGCAGTAAATCATATCTATCTTCAGCATGGAACACTCTTATGTTCTGTCATGGAAAGCCCAAACATATACTCTCCAATATGATACGCAGTGGCCACCTGTGGTTTTTGGACTCTGGAAATACGATTAGTCCTGATTAAGATGTGGTATAGTATGTAACCACACCAGATTTTGTTGTTGTTACTGAGAATTGAACTCAGAACATCACGCTTGCCATCAGGCGCTGTACTACTGAGCTATATCCCAGGCCCTACACACCAGATTTTTGAAGACTTAGTACAAATAAAAGAATATAAAATATCTCATTAATGCTGAAATGATATTATTTTGGAAATATTGGGTCACCTGTTTTGTGGCCCAGGAAATTTGTCACTGTATTTTTAAAAACTTATTTATTAGTATACGTTTGCAATACACAGTGCATATATTCATTGTGCAATACTGACAAACATCTATATTGCATCTTGATCCTTTTTATTTCCCCCTCCAAAAATACATGAGTATTAATTTCATTTGTAATTAGTAAAAAATAAAAAAATTTAAATTACATATGCTACTTGTTCTCTTTCCACAGGACAGCACAGTCTTATGGTAATAAATAGGATTTTTTCTTTTTTTTTTCTTTCTTTTTTTTTTTTTTTTTTTTGGTACCCGAAATTGAACTCAGGACCTTACACTTGCCAGGCAGGCACTTGTGACACTGAGCTATATCCCCAGCCCACAAATAGGATTTTTGTAATTTAGTTTTTGGTGTTTTATCTTTCCCCAAAGAAATAACTTATGATTAATATGGTTTTGTGGCTAATTTACAGAAAGCAAGATTCTTAAATGAAAAATTATATTTTCAATGAGAATTAGAAGAAAGAAGAAAAAGAGAGAGAAACACTGCAGAAATCACAAACAATAATCCTTTGCTCAAAGCAGAAAATACTACATATTCAAGAACACTATGACAGCTAAAGGAATTTGTTATTAAAAAAAATTAATTTGCCAAGAAAGTAAAAAAATGAAAACAATACTCTAATGATTTTGAAGTTTTACTTTTTTTCCAAAAGCAATGAGTCCTCCAAGGAAACAAAAATTGCAATAAATCAGTGCTTTTCCCTGTATCAAATAACCTGTGAGACATTCCAAAGTTCTAGTTAACAAAGAATAGTACTGTGACATTTTCCAAAAATAGGCATTAGTGAGATCAGTATCTATATATTATTTTCTTCCAGTAAAGCTCAAATGCTTCATATTGGAGATCATTTCATTCTAGGAGGCACAAAGGAACTGTTCAAAATCCAAGCAGGTGGAAATAGAAATCAAGCTGGGCATGGTGGCTCATGCCTGTAATCCCAGCACTCAGGAGGCTGAGGCAGGTGGATCACTGTGAGTTCGAGGCCAGCCTGGGCTACAAAGTGAGCTCAAGGCCAGCCTGAACTGCATAGTGAGA